TATATATAGGTCCGGGTCGCTAAAGACCCGAATATGTAATAATGATTGGCGAAACATTCATGCATTTAAGGGTTACTGGAGGTTTAAATAATAAAAAAAAATGCACATGCAATTAAAATATGTAACTTCTTTTCACGAGCGGAGATCGCTACTAGATGAATCATGTAATTTGTTATTTAAAAAAAAAAATTTTTATTTTGTCGTAAGTTATGCTATTACTCCAGTAATTTATACTAGCCTATCCAGCGCTCCCTGAATGCAGTCTCTGGCTTATTGCCAGTCAAGAGCAAGCGACTCGAGTCCGAGTCAAGTCTCGAGTCAAGTGACTCGAGTCCACACCCCTGATGTAAGGAAACTGTATCCCTAAGACTTGTAAACGTTCCTGTATTGATTGGACTAAGACAGGTAAAAAAAGAGTATATTTATGTATATACACTCAAACACACAAAACGCATACAAATCTATCTATACTGTATGCTAATTGTCAATCATCTTTGACGATAGTGGTCCTGACAGAAAATAAGTCCTTACAGTAAAATGTAACTGCAATATGGTATAACATATTATAGAACATTGTTTTTCTTTTTTTTACTTTTTATCCAGAGTGAGTATACTCTCACACACTCATTGATTTATTTTGTCTCTATTCTCTTTTTTTTTTTTTTTTTGTTGTTCATGGTCCTTCTTTGTCTATGGTCCAGATTTCATACGACGAAGATATAAGTGATGCAGAAAAAGTGTATCAGGAATGTCAGCAGAGCGGCCCACTTTCCTTCAGTGACTGTATCCCTCCAGCTCGCATGAAACACTGCAACAAGATCGGAGAAGGGACATTTGGAGAGGTCTTCTCAACCATAAATGAGTCCAACGAGACTGTTGCTCTCAAAGTAAGTGCACAATTTAATCACATATGGTTTTATTGTAGAAGCGTACTAACTACTGTCTGACATACAAGGTGATTTTAATGTAAATGTACTATTTCAAATAAATTGTGAACTTATATGTACATCTATATATGTAGGAATAGAAGTTTGGTCATTTGTTTGGTGAAGTTTAAAAGTTTGGTATTATTGTTATTTCTTAAACTTACAAAAATGATTGTACAAAAGTGATGTTTGAATGTAATTTCTGTAGATCATCCCAGTAGAAGGCAGTCAGCAGGTCAATGGTGAACACCAGAAAACATTTGGTGAAATCCTCCATGAAATCATCATTTCCAAGTAGGAAGTCTGGCATAGCTCAGCAAATCTATTGTACATTTGAATGTAATGGTGTGTAAATATTCATACACATCTCCAATGTCCCTACAGAGAGCTGAGCAGCCTTAACACGAAGGAGTTTAACAAGACAGACAGTTTCATTGGGCTCAACAAGTATGCAGCTTTTTTTTCTAAGCTAGCTTGGGTATAAAATGAGGTGAATGGAAGTGTGTGTGTGTTATAGTTATAAGAATGAAGAACACATGAAGAATGTGATTTTGTTTTGAAAAGTATTTATTTATTTTTAATTGTCCTTTCTGTGTAAACTATTCCTTTACTTTCTAGTCTATATTGTGTTCGTGGACGCTATCCGGAAGCTCTGCTCAAAGCCTGGGACAAGTTTGACCGCCAGAAGGGATCTGAGAATGACAGACCTGGTAAGCTAAAAGTATAAACAATTTGTATGCTGTTTAATTGTATTGTGACATTTAATGTCTATTAATGTATTTATTCTGTTGGCACAGATTTCTTTGATGACGAGCAGCTGTTTTTAATCCTGGAGTTTGAGTTTGGAGGGAGTGATCTAGAGAACATGAATGGAAAGGTACCTTGCACAAGAGTTTTGCTTTTTTGCTTCTTTATACAGGTTGTGCTATTCCAGTAATTTCTGTGAAGACTGAACTCCACTGAAAACCTTTGAGGTGAATTCAGGCCCCATCACCCAACATCAGTTCCTGACCTCACTGATGCTTTTGTCATTGTATGGTTTAAAATGTTGTCATCATTTAGTTATAAGAACTTCCATTCATCTTTGAAACAAATATTTTAATGAAACCGGAAAGATTTAAGTTTCGGAAAAAGTCCTTATTACCAAATTTTTTAAAAAGCTCATATAGAGGATGTACAAGAAATCCATATAAATCAAGTGGTTTACTCAAAATCTTCTGAAGGGACATGACAGCTTTGATAATTAACGCACATACATAGAGCTCAGTGTATGTGAATTGATGAATGTTTATACTAGGGCTGCACGATATATCGTTTCAGCATCGATATCACGATGTGCACATCTGCGATAGTCACATCGCAGGATGAGCGATGTTTAGTATACTGCTCGTTATATTTATACTGATGGTTTTCTTTGCTCACACACAGACACGGTGTCTACACCGGACACGACCAAGTTGATATAACTGCAGACCGGAGATCTCCAAAATGGGGCGTGAACTCCAAAGTGGGCATAACCTCCAAAATGGGGCGGGGTCTCCTCGCGCAAAGACTTTACAGCTCCCACCCCGTTTTGGAGTTCCTGCCCCCATTTGGAGATCTCCAGGCTGCAGTTATACCCTTCTCGACGCGACAGCTATACAGAGATACCAATTTTAAATTCATTTAGTAGCAGAGCTACTGCAAGCGATTTTCAGTGCTGGTAATCCATTTATCTTTTGTTGAAACTTCTGCGTCTTTGTGGAGAGCGCAGGTCACGGTCGCTTAGCAATGGCAGACGCCTTATGGCTTAGGTGAAGGTAAACAATTGAGAAAGAAAATGGATGTGTAACAGTATATTGGTTCACAGCAGTTTAATGTTCCTGTTGCTTTCTGTGTCATGAACGTTAATCAAACAACAAAACACAAAGAACACTAACTTTTGTAGCTTTAACACAGATTTATTAGATTTAATTTATAGTGAAAACTATGCAGTTATTTTACATTTGATTATTCAATTTCTGTACCTGAATACTGTTAGACTTACCTGAAAAATATAAAGCACTGCTTATTTAATTTGTATCTTTGTTCTGTTATCTATGCTTGTAATTTGTTTATTTCCTATGCTGATTTACTCACCTACAAAATCACCCCAATCACTGATTTTTTTTCCAAATAGAGCTATTGAAGTCATCTGTTTTTTTTTTCATATCGCAATATATATTGCAGAAAAAAAAATATCGCAATGTGAGTTTTCCAATATCGTGCAGCCCTAGTTTATACAGTATATGAATAACAACCTTAATTAAATCTGTCTCTTATATAAAGTCATTGTCTCTTCAGAAGACTTGGATTAAACTGCTTGATTCATATGGATTACTTATGAACTTTTTAAACTGTCTTAAGTTTTGTGGAATGGGCTTTTGATGGAATCTCAGGTTTAATTACAAATAAGTTCATCCTCCAAACATAAATGAAAAGTCTTATGGTTTGGAATGGCATGTGGACGAGTAATTAATGAAAAATAAATCTCAATTTTTGGGTGAACTATTCCTTTAAAAATCACTGTAATAGCTAAACCTGTTAATTAGAAGTGGGGTGTCCATATACTTGGAACTATAGTGTATCATTATGACAACTTAAAAGTTTGTTTGTGTGTACCATTGCAGCTATCTTCCATGGTCCAGGCCAAGAGTGTTCTACATCAAGTCACTGCAGCTTTGGCTGTAGCTGAGCAAGCGCTGTGCTTTGAACACAGGTAACATGTTTAAAGCTGAAATTTAAGTTTCATTATAAATGTACCATGTGAAAAAAACTTTTCTGTGTAAGCTGATGTAAATGTTGTGTGCTGATGTTTCAGAGATCTTCATTGGGGAAACATCCTGGTGAAGAACATTAAGCACAAGCACAATGAGTTCATTCTGAATGGAATAGTGCATTCCATAGAGACACGAGGGGTTCACGTCAACGTTATCGACTACTCACTCTCACGCCTGGAGATCGGTCAGTCTAAGACGAAACTCTTTCTCTTACTCTTTATAGTGCAAATAGTTTGCCCTCGTGACTTGTTTTCATAGCATTAGAGTCACAAATCCCATGTTTATTAACTACTATAGATGTAGATGTTAACATACATTAAATTAATTTTGCATGTCTTCCTAGCCTCACTCATAAAATTGTGATTTTTGTCCTGAATTCAGAGACCTTCATTGACTTTCTCCTTTGCATCTTCATAGCATTAGAGTCACAAATCCCATGTTTATTAACTACTATAGATGTAGATGTTAACATACATTAAATGAATTTTGCATGTCTTCCTAGCCTCACTCATAAAATTGTGATTTTTGTCCTGAATTCAGAGACCTTCATTGACTTTCTCCTTTACAACAATTAAAATCATGCAGCAACATAATTTTGACAGTCTGTAGAATTTATTATAGCAGACTTTAATATTATTTCAGTTTTTACAAATGTTAATTTGCAAATTTCTCATATATTAACTACAAATCAATATTTGGTCCCAAACTGGCTAGCTGTTTAAGGACATGTTTGCAGATTTTTATCACGCTTTGTATTGCTTTAATGAAGGTAGCATAAGTATCATGGAAAAAAGAGTACAAATTGTTCATTTTTATTTACTGACCATAACAATATAAAGCTGGTTGAAAATTGACAAAGTTATCCTTTTAAGAGTTATATTTAGGCTAAATTTGCAACCCTGTTTCCTGCCATGTTTAGTTTAAATGAATGTTACTTTTATTTAATGTTTGTCTATAAAACAGTCATACGTTTTTTTTTTTTGTTGTTTATAAGCTATATTCAAATATTTTGGTAAAAATTGAAGAGTAACATTTTGGTAAGAGCTGAACACATTTTTACAGCCTAATACAAATAAATACGAAAATGTAGTACATTTGGAAATCATTTTGTTTGTCTCTCTCTGTTTTAGATGGACTGACGGTGTCATGTGATATATCTAATGATGAGGAGTTGTTTATGGGTCAGGGAGATTATCAGTTTGAAATCTACCGTCTAATGAAGAAAGAAAACAAGTATGTGCTTTAGCCTTAGACCAAACTTGTTTAAAATTCTTTCATTCTAAACCACTGAATGATTGATTCTCATTGTTTTTCTCATTTTCTCTGTCTTAGTAACTGCTGGTCCAACTATAATCCTCATTCCAATGTGTTGTGGCTGCACTATCTGGCTGATAAACTGTTGAGCATGAAATACAAAAGCAAAGCCCAGAGCAACCAGCAGAGGACACTGAAGAGCGCCCTCAAATCTTTCCAGTCAGAGATACTCAATTATCCGTCAGCTACAGAAGCTCTTATGAACTGCAAATTATTTCAGTGAAACGTTTATGTTTTAATTAACACAATAGATAGACCTGTATATTTTGAATGACCAGTCCAGGGCAAGTACAGTATTCTAATGTTCTGTAAAAAGATATTAAAAACAAATAAAGAAAATGCAATCATGCAATTAAAAAAAAAAAAAAAATGTAATTTATTGATATACATTAATTATCTTGAAATAGTTACAGTTTTGGCATAGTATGGCAAAACCAGCTGTTCTTGCATTCTCATTTTTGTTTATTAAGAAAAGTCTCAGCGTTCCACACCACATTTCCAGCAATCCAGAATTGGCAGTTCATTTTTATAAATTAATAGTTGTCCATGTTGGATTTGCTGCAGACCTGTTCAGTTTTTTTTAGACCTTGTTTGATCATCCTTGTGCTGGAGGCATAATGTGCAAGGATAGACCACAACATCCATGGAGGAAGCCTCAGCACAGGAACATTCTCTTCTTTTTGCTCTTTGATATGCCCACCCACTCTATGACCTTAGTGTCCTGTTGTCCTTTATCATTCTGACGAGTTCTCTTTCAAACATTCGTTCAGTATCTCACTATGGGAATCGCCTCGGGCGTGACCAATCTTGGAAGCACCAATTACACCACGTCTGTTGGTTGACAGACCAATCACGATAGTGATGCGGGAGTCCCGCCTCCCTCATATATATATCGCTGCTAGCGGTCCCTACATCATTCTCGTTCTCTTCCCCGTGAAGATCCTTATTGGAAGCTATCCTCAGCAGATCCTCATAAGAATTGCCGCTTAACTGTTCACGGGCGAGTCGCATTTTAGGTACGTCGCCGAACGCGGCTGCTTTTTGTTTTGGGGGGGAAATATTCTCTGTCAAAGTGAATATTTTCTTTCTGCTATATCTATATCTTTGTGGTGTGAACCAGTGCATGAAGCACTCTTAATTATTCCTTCACGTTAAGGGAATAATTGCTGTAAGACCCGATATCGAGAGGCACATTGTGGTGATCTCGTTAATCTCCCGGAGTTTTTCATCTCTGTTATGGCGACTGCGAGCCCATCCAGTGGCACAGCGAAGGGAAAAGATCCCTCTCGCCCGTGTGCTTGCGGGTCTATGATTTCGTCTAAAGACTCATAAAGATGGGTTATGCAAGAGAGAGGACGAAGGTTTACACGTGTTCCCATTTGAAATAAATAAAAATGTTTACTGTGCATCCAGTTAGTGGGCCAAGGGCACAGATTTGTGTGAAAATAAAAACAAAAATACACACAAATACTCCCAGATCAGAGCTGCAACCCCCAGATCTGCAGCTAGATCATAGTGCCACACCATCAGTGAGCGAGAGCTGCAGCGCATGCGCAGTACACCCTTGGGTATTATCTATGATAGAATGGGGTTCTATTTTTTTCTCAACAGTGTGTTAATGTCAACAGCAGAAGGGGAGTCAGCTCGGATTTTAGAGGAGAAAATAATCTCTTTATTGAGTAAAAGAGTAATTCGGGTGGTGCCACGGGAGGACAGCCAGCACGGCTTTTACTCCCGGTACTTTGTCATTCCCAAAAGAGGGAGGGGGGGGTCTCTGTCCCATTCTGGATTTGCGGAACCTCAACAAACACCTCAGAAAGTACAAGTTCAAAATGCTCACAATAAAAACATTATACAATGTTATTCGTCCCAGAGACTGGTTTACATCAGTAGATGTGAAGGACGCTTTTTTGACAGTTCCATTCGGTTTGGCTTTAGCCCCAAGAACTTTCACAAAATGTGTTCGAGGCGGCTCTAACACCGCTGAGAATAGCGGGTCTCAGAGTGTCAGCTTATTTGGACGATCTCCTCCTCTCTACTCCGTCATAGCGGCAGGCGGAGATTGATACAAATCTGCTTGTCTCATTTAAAAGGCTTAGGCTTCAAAATAAACGAGACGAAGAGCTGCTTAGTGCCCACGCAAGAAATAATTTTCCTGGGTCTCAGGCTGAACTCAGACCTGTATCAAGCGTTTCTATCAGAGGAGCGCATCAGGTCAATTCGTGGTTGTCTCTCCCTTTTCCAGAGAGGGAAAAAAGTTCTATTCAGACTGTTTACGTCTTCTAGGGCTGATGGCCACGGCAGTGTCTGTCATCCCATTTGGGCTGTTGCGAATGAGTGAGTTTCAGTGCTGGGTAGCAGCACAGCGCTTATGTCCAAAGCGCCACCTCAACCACAAATTGATAGTGTCATCACATTGCCTGCGAGCTCTCTGCTGCTGGAGAGATCGCGCTTTTCTCGAATCAGGGACTCCGCTGGGAGCGAATTCTCTGAGAAAAGTAGTAACTACAGATGCGTCACACACAGGTTGGGGTGCAGTGTGCGAGGGCAGAATAGCGCAAGGGAAATTGCCTGCCTCGCTACAGAACGCACATATAAACTTCCTGGAACTGTTAACAGTGTTTCTAGCATTGAAACATTTCATGCAGTTCCTACGGAATCACCACGTTTTGGTCAAATCGGACAACACAACGGCGGTGGCTTATATAAATCGCCAGGGGGGGAACACGTTCTCCTCAACTTCACAGTCTAGCATAAACTCATGGTGTGGGGCACCATTTTGACATGAAGCATTTTCATCCATTACGGGCGACTCGTGTCCCGGGAATAATGAATGCGGGGGCAGATCTCCTGTCCGGGGGAATCCTCTGTATGGGGAATGGACTCTCCACCCTCAGGTAGTGAACCAGTTGTGGGAGAGGTTCGGCCGAGCTGCCGTAGATCTCTTCGCCTCGCACGAAAATACTCATTGCCCTCTATTCTTTTCTCTGGCGAGAGACTGTGCACCTATGGGTCTGGATGCTTTGGCTCACCCGTGGCCAAGCGTACTGCTTTACGCGTTTCCTCCACTGAGCACAGGTTGGGGTGCAGTGTGCGAGGGCAGAATAGCGCAAGGGAAATTGCCTGCCTCGCTACAGAACGCACATATAAACTTCCTGGAACTGTTAACAGCGTTTCTAGCATTGAAACATTTCATGCAGTTCCTACGGAATCACCACGTTTTGGTCAGATCGGACAACACAACAGCGGTGGCTTATATAAATCGCAAGGGGGGGAACACGTTCTCCTCAGCTTCACAGTCTAGCACGAAAACTCATGGTGTGGGGCATGAAGCATTTTCATTCATTACGGGCAACTCATGTCCCGGAAATAATGAATGTGGGGGAAGATCTCCTGTCCAGGGGGAATCCTCTGTACGGGGAATGGACTCTCTAACCTCAGGTAGTGAACCAGTTGTGGGAGAGGTTCGGCCGAGTTGCCGTAGATCTCTTCGCCTCGCACGAAAATACTCATTGCCCTCTATTCTTTTCTCTGGCGAGAGACTGTGCACCTATGGGTCTGGATGCTTTGGCTCACCCGTGGCCAAGCGTACTGCTTTACGCGTTTCCTCCACTGAGTCTGATCGTACCAACTCTAAAAAGAGCAAGAGAGTGTGGTCACTCAGTAATACTGATCGCTCCGAACTGGCCAGGGAAGTTGTGGCTGACAGAGATATTCCAGCTCCTGCACGATTGACCTTGGCCTCTCCCGTTGCGCAGAGACCTCCTCTCACAAGCGCGGGGAGAGATTTTTCACCCGGCACCGGACAAAGTGGCTCTTTGGGCCTGGCCCGTGAGAGGTTGAATTTAGGTGTTACGGGTTTGCCTCCGAGGGTGATTGAAACGATTCAAAATGCGAGAGCGGCTTCGACGCGCTCTGCATATAATGGCAAATGGAATGTGTTTTAGCTTTGGTGCGAGCAAAGGCAAATTGTTCCTTTTCACTGTTCGGTGGCAAAGGTGTTATGTTTTCTGCATGAACTTTTAGATAAGGGCAGAGCCTTCTCTAATGTTAAAGTTTATCTTGCCACTATTTCTGCATGCCATGTGAGGATTGACAGAAATACAATAGGTCAGCACTCTCTTGTGTGCAGGTTTATGAGGGGTGCGCGGCGTCTGAACAGGGTTTCAAAGCCGCTGATTCCGCCGTGGGAGCTGTCGGTGTTCCTTAACTCACTCTCTCAGCCTCCTTTTGAGCCAATAGACAATATTGATTTAAGGCTCCTTTCGCTAAAGGTTGCTTAGTTATTTGCTCTTTAGACCGCAAAACTAGTTAGTGAACTTCATGCTTTGTCGGTTCATAACTCCTCTATGCTGTTTGCTATGGATTTCTCGCGAGTAACTCTCAAGACCAATCCAGCATTTGTGCCTAAGGTGAGCGAGTCAGCTTTCGCCTGTAGACTTAGATTTACTGGATTTTCATCCGCCGCCTTTTTCCTCATCGGAAGAAGAGCGGCTTCATTGTTTGTGCCCTGTCTGTGTGTTGTCATTATGTGGACAGGACGAAGGGATTAAGGAGTAATCAGTTATTTGTTTCATGGGCTGATTCTCATAAGGGTAAACCTATTTCTCGTCACCGCCTGTCCCACTGGGTGGTGGAAGCTATTATATTGAGTTATAATAGCATGGGTCTCAGTCTTCCAGAGGGGCTGAGGGCTCATAGTACCCGAGGGTTAGCCATCTCATGGGTGGTGTTTAAGGGCGTTTCAATTCAAGACATTTGTGAGGCGGCTTTTGTCAGATTTTATAGGTTGGATGTTATGGAGCCTTCATTGGCGCATTCCGTCCTAAGTGTGTAAAAAAAAAAACGTACATGTCTCTGTTCGATTCTGGGAATAGTGGAGGGCTTGTGTTATTATTATCACACATCACTGAGTTGGTTGACATGCCTGCTTCAGACAGCATATCTGCAATACGGGAGTTGTCTATATCCCATTGTTAGATACCGAACGAATGTTTGAAAGAGAACTTTAGGTTACTCACGTAACCCCGGTTCTCTGATAACATGAGTGAGGTATCTCACCACACTTCCCTCCTTACAGCAGCATGGAGAAGAGATATGCTGAGAATGAAGTAGGGACCGCTAGCAGCGATATATATATATGAGGGAGGCGGGACTCCCGCATCACTGTCATGATTGGTCTGTCACGCCCAATTCACGGCGATTAGAAGAACCGGCGTTACGTGAGTAATCTAAAGTTCTTTCATGGTTCAATGCATAATCTCTTCATTTTTGTAACGTTTTAAGACATTGGGCCGGTGTGCTGCTGTTCGATCAACAGGATAAAAGTGAGATGCATCCTGTAGAAAAGCTTATTTGGTGTTAGCTTGCAGTTGCAGTTGAGTGTAATTATGCAGAAAAAGGTGACTTTGGTGAGCTTGTACTCAAAATGTTGGGACAGATATGGACGAAGGTTTGTGGGACCTCAGAAAGAGAAGTATTTGGTGAACCACTCCTGCTTTTGAGGGTCTTGTCCATCAGGCCCTGTTTCAATAACCCTCTGCTCAGCTGGAGTCCTGAAACAAAAGTACAAGATAAATAAGAGCAGGAAATGTAAATGTGACATCTTGAGAGAAAAGGAAAAAAAAGTTGAGATTTTTTCAGGAAACGTTTTTTTATTGTGTTTTTATTGTTTATAAGACTTTGAGCTCAAGCAGCTAAATAGATAGTTAAAGCATGTCTAATATGGATTTTTTTTTTAAATGTATGTACCTAATTTTTAATGCAAAAGTGGGCAGAACAATTTTTTACTTTAACGTGCAAGGCTTCCGGTGTCAGCTTCTTCTAATTATTGCTATAGTATGCTATTGTATACTACACATTTTGGCAAATATAGTTGGTCATCCAACTTGTGACTGAAAACTACTGCGTGCGACTATGAAAACATATTTAGGAGCACCAGTGCGACTGACCAGATCTTCATCATATTTGTGATTGTGATCACTGAGGGGAACTTCAAAGGTTTCTACGTGTTTTTGCAGCATTGAGTACTGTATCACAGACATATCTCATGAATCCTTTCATAAGCAAAGTGTAGACGGTGTAAGAAAAAACGATTGCAGTGTAGAGAGATTAGTTGATTATAAATGTGAGTTTGCGATGAGCTAAGATGAGTGACAGCTTTTAATGATTTTTAAGGGAGTGTGTAAATGTGTTACTGATTTAATACAACACAATAGACAGTCATTAGTCAGTCTTAGTCATTAGACAGTCACAATAGACAAGAAGTTAATATTAAGTGACTTACATTGTCTGACTATAACAGACAATATACTATTGTCTGATTTTGCTCTATTTCGTCGTCGAAAATAGTTTGAAAAAGTCACAGCTCAGCCGCTGCGCATCTCCATTCAAACACAGCGGTGTCTCGTTTATGAATGAACTGCGTTTTTAAACGAATCTAGTGAGTGAGGGATTCATGATTACCCATTCATAAATCCTGTCACTTGCTTCATTCCTGAATGATTCAGCCGTTCGAATTAATCAATTGAATGAATGATTCAGTGATAAAAACAGTGACTTGTCGCCACCTGCTGGCAGTTTTAGTTTCATTTTTAAAGTAACTTTTCTTTAAATCATTTAATATTTCTATATTCATCATTTTTTAAAAACATTAATCTTAACATGAATTTATGGATTTAATTGCACTCATGCCACCTCTGATCCTCATTAAATGTCTGAAAATACACCTACAAGCCACTTTTGTGTTCTTCTGTGCCACCTCTGTACAAATGAATTTTAATACTGATTTCATTTGATTAGTAACTTATTCTTCTTATTCTACTTGTTCTTATTATGTAGTTTTAATTAGAATTTTTAAAAAGCTTATAAAATATATATTTTTTTAAATTTGACATAAAAGATGACATACTTTTAATAAAGTTAGAAAAATGCCATTACAAAAGTAAAAATGTTGGATTATTGATTAGAAGGTGCTCCTACATTTTTGACTGTGCTCCTACATTTAGAAAAGTTAACTTTTAAATAAAAAAAAATAAATTTTTTAAAGAAAAATAAGCGTAGAGCCCTGTTGTTGGCAGAGAATATAATCTATAGCTATTTGCACTGTATAAATAGCATATCGTTAAAATACTGCTATTTGCACTGTGTAAATAGCATCCATCGCTATTTACACTTAGTGCAAATAGCCACTGCCTTTTTTTTAATTTTACTAATGTCCAGTGCTGCTACATTGATTATACAAAAAGCCATACAAAAAAAAAAAAAGGTATTGTATATTGAATAGAAGATAAAAAGGAGCTTTTATTTGTCTTTGGGCTAGTTTTGAAGAGTGCTATTTTAGTATTGTTTAATGTTATTATAGTATTTCATTATTTCAAATTAGCTTTTATATTTGCATGTATTTTCATATATATTTGCATTTTATTTCATTTTTAATTTTGGTTTGAATTTAAGTAATATTGTTATGTGATTTTGTCAGATATATTTCATTTAACAATTTGTTGTTTTAATAGTTTGAGTTAATAACACTAGATTTAAATAGTTATTAGGATGTTTTTTTTTAAAGCAATTTCAGACCATGTTTTACAATATGAGATGATTTATCTCAGAACAGAAAAGGCACCATATACAAATAATTTTTAAGTTGCTTTGGATAAAAGCATCTAATCAATGAAAAATATGTACACTGAACAAAATTATAAACGCAACACTTTTGTTTTTGCCCCCATTTTTCATGAGCTGAACTCAAAGATCTAAGACTTTTTCTATGTACACAAAAGGCCTATTTCTCTCAAATATTGTTCAGAAATCGCCTCAGTTTTGAATGTACCGGGTGAGTGTAGAAAGCAGCTAGCACACTAGCTAACATATGTAAACATCACTGAAATATCAATGACGATCTGCTGCATGAGATCACGTGAGGCGCTCCCTCTGGCATGATAATCTTAATAATATCTTGTAGTGTGTGATGCGCCACGATGTTAAAATCTTGTAGTGTGTGCATGTTTAAGATTTGAGGCAAGATAATCTGCAAATATTCTCCTTATGTGTGTGCTGCAACATAGACCATACATTGAGATTTGTATTTATCTACCTCAAAAAGAAAAAAAAGTTTCCAGGAGATTTCAGGATTGGCTGTTGTGGGTGATTACCTGATGTGCTGGTTGTAGGTGATTTTAAGCTGCGGCTGATGTCGCACCTCTTGTGAAGGTGGGCGGCTCTGTCTGATAGAGGCTCTGTGTTCAGAATGAGGGGAGGTGGGTGTGTGTGTCCTTGTTAGGGTGGTCCCTCGCCCGCACTGTTCCAGACTGCCACGCTCCATAACTGGTGAGCATTTGGCCTTAGATGACCCCCCATCATATGAGCAGAAGTTTGGGATGCTAGTTTCCTCAACCACTTTTTTCTATAAACAAAAGGCAGATTACAACAGATTAAGCCCAAGCTTTAATAAACATGTTCTTTTAGGGTGCTTTCACACTAGCACTTTTGGTGCATACCCGGGTTTGATTGACGTCAAGAGTTTGGTACGTTTGGATGGTGTGAACGCGGTCTTCCGAACTCGGGTGCGCACCCGCAAACTGTACCCGAGTCCGCTTAAAAGGGGTGGTCTGGGGTACGGTTCAAGTGAACTCCGGTACGGTTCGCTGCTGATGTGAACGCAGTCGTACCAAATCACGAAAGTGAACCGCTATTAATGGACATATTATTTGATAAAAATGTGTGTTTGTGTGTTTCACTCACTTTCCTGACGAGCGTGACTGACGCGCTGCAAACAGAGCCGTATATCTCATTTCTGTTCGCCTTCAGAGTTCTTTAGAGCATTTGCAATACATTCGTAAGGCAGATGTAAGTGATGTTATGTACTGAAGCTTTGGAAACAAAACCAACGGTTCAAAAACATAAATATAAAACTTAAGAGAGCAATGCTACGCATTTTGCCGTCTTCTCCTGCGCCATCGTTACTAAACAACGGGGTAAACAGCTGCTGGCTTGATGACGCAAACGACCCAAATAATATAATGTGAACACTGTCCAGCAGGGGGAGTGGGAGCAATCAAATTCAGGTTCGGACCAAGCAATCGAACCAAGTGTGAAAGCACGCTTAGATATTGAATGATACCAGATGGATGGAATGGGATTTGAAAAAGTGTAAATGTGTGCTACCTTCATAGTAGGTGTGAGGGTCCCTGCTTGTGTCCTAGAGTCATAAGGCTTAAATATTTCATCGCTGCACAGAGTTGGATGCTGGGATATCTGGTGGAGGTCCTCCTGAAATAGAAAAAAAAAAATGATGTGATGAGACAGAAGGGTACTAGCATCCTGTGTCTCGTATTTCACTGTGTATGTGCGTGTCTAACCACTAGACTTTTGATGAGTTGGTCTCTCTCGCTGAGTTTGTCCTGTAGTTTAGCAATTGTGTGCAGGTCTTCTACTCTCCTCTTTCCCCTTTCTTCCCTTTCTCTCAACCTACAATCATAAAATACAAGCACACAAAGCAGACACAAATATTAATTAAATGCAACATTAAGAAATTAAATGCATCACTTGAACTATTTTAGTAAAAAAAAAGAAAGAAAAAAATGTTTAGAGAATAATCTCACAACTAGACTAGGAATAGACTAGAATAAAGGTGTAGCATTCTTTCATTATTACAAAATATTACATTTTAATATGGCACTAAAACACTCAAACTTTTATTACTCGTATAACATGACATTCTAATATAGATAATATGAATCATTTTAACAGAACCTTGTATGTGTATTTGAACTGTATTTTGTTGTATAACTAAGTTATTTTACAACTTTTTTTCAAATTAGTAATTATGAGTCTGTTATATGATGCAGTATAATGTTAAGCAGTGGTAAAATATAGTAAAATATGTTAAACAGACCTGGAAGTACTGCATTTTTATAGCGACGGTTATTATTAAATTAGCCAATATATTTCATAAATTAGCATGCAATGTGTGGAATTTTAACTCTTCAGTTCTGTGGAAATCTGAAGGAAATCCAAGTCACAAGCCATTGCCATATATTGTCTTGCTTGGGTTAATTCTGTATGTATGTGTGGTTTGTGTTTTGCATTATTGATGTGGGAGGAGTAGGTACTCTGTTTCCAAGGCAACTATGCGGGCCTGTAGTCGTGTTTGGGCGGTGCTGAAGTCTGATATTATGGTCTGGATCTCCATTCTGTGCTCTCTCTTCACACTCTCCATGTTATTCCTGTGATCCGACCCAACCGCTTCACCCGCCTCATCACATTCCTCTGAGAAACTGCACATCAGACACAATACATCAATATCACGCATGTATATTCTGCTTTGTTCTCAGTATAGCAGATATCAGATTTACTTAGCCTTAAACGTCACATAAAAACATAGCATGTGGTTAGTCCCTTTACGCTCAGACATTCTGTTTAATACCACTTTTCCACCTAAATCGTTCATGTGTGCGGTGGAGCAGAAAGATCTAAAAACTCTCATAATTGGCAAAGTGAACAATGTTATAAGTGGCAATGTTACTAAAGTACATTGTCTGCCTACAACTTAAATTTAGAAGTCCTATGAGTTTTGAAAACAGATTTAAAAGCTATTGTAATTTAATTCAGCTTCTTCATGCCATCACAAGATACCAGTAGTTATTTAATATATAACACATAAAACTGGTTTCAATCAATTCAAGCATGACATTTAATTAAATAAACTTGAACAAAATAAAATGATTTTAGATACTAACAGAGGACAAAAGTAATAATAAACTGCCCAAAGCCAATGTGCAAATGACATGCATATAAACAAGATCAACTGAACATGCATGTCTTCTCTGCATCCTGTGTAGAGTGCCCAAGTTTTTTGTGTCAATCTGGCCAAACCAAGTTGTTATTGTTAAGAAACCTTTACTTGATGAGGACTGTTATGTTAGTGTTTCCTGGTTTGACACCAGCAGGTTTAAAGGGTTAGTTCACTCAAAAAAATAAATGTATAAAAATCCGTTATCATTTACTTACTCTCAAACCAGTAACAGATATTTTTTAATGAATTCTAAGATATTTAAGTCCCTGGAAGTTCATTCCTTCAGAACTTTGATGCTTCAAACAGTTCATAAAGACATTCTTAAAGAAATTCATATGAATTGAGCAATTCAATCCAAGTGTTCTGAAGGAACATATAGCTTTATATGATGATCAGATTTAATTTAGACTTTTATTCACATAAACATAGATCAATGCACGCACAGAGCACATCAAATATGGTCAACGGAAGCTAAGATGGAAGACGGAAATTTCTCAGGTTTAATTAAAATGTTCATTTGTGTTTCTAAGATAAACGTTTAATGGGTTTGGAATGACATGAGGGTAAATAATTGGGAGAACTATCCCTTTAAGGAGCCAATGCAGAGTAGTGGAAACATATGGAACAGTTTCAAATGGGCCCCTTGTCAGTGAATAATGGGCATAAGTAAGCAGTTCTTAACCAGAATAAGCAGCAATGTGTACTTAGCAGTCAGTCTTGCCACTGACGCCTGTGTGAGTGTGCTTGTGCTCATCTTGTTACTGACCTCCTGTCTATGTGCGTGTTTGAGGTCATCTTGTTACTGACCTTCCATGTGTGATTGTGCTTGTAGTTATTTTGGTACTGACCTCTTGTGTTTATGGTCATCTTGTTCTACTTTCTGTGCTATGACTGCACTCATGCGTTCTTTCAGATCTTCGTTCTCTCTCTTTAGCTCCTGAACCTCGCTGCTCTTCTCATCCAGCTGTCTCTCTAGTGACTGTAAGCGGTTTTGCTGCTTCAGATCCTGAGGAGGAGACAAATAAAGAGAGAGACGTGGAGTGATGAACCCCTTGAGGCGGTATAAGTGTGTGTGTGTGTGTGTGTGTGTGTGTGTGTGTGTCTGTGCGGTTTGTATGTGTACCTGCTGCAGGGCCATCATTTGTGTGTGTTTCTTTGCGTGCACATTTGGGCGGCATTATGCTAATATTTCCACATAGTAACGTAGATATGTGGGGGCGTGTTAGAACGAGCCTTTTTATGTAGGCATGGCTGACTCTTAACTTCTATAAAGAATATCTCTTTTGATTTGAGACTTTAGTCTTTGCAACTTTACAGATCTTCTTTATGCACCAAGAGCTTGTAACACTCCAAAGAGAAAGGAAAACTTGAAATCACATCATATGACCCCTTTAAGGAATAAGGTTTTTTTCACACAAACTTGTTTTATATACCTTACTCATTATGACAGATAATGATAGTACTTACAATTAGCATCAATATTCTAATAAAGCCTTTAGAATATTTCTGCAAATACGGCAATCAGCATATTTTACGAATAAACCTTTTAATAAACAAAGATATCCTGCTATTCTCTTCTGTCTGCCGTTTGAACATTATTACGCTCCATTTTAGTCCTTTGATTAACATTCATTCTAATTCATATCCCTAACGATAGAAGATGAGGCTGAAGGATGAATTGGAAAATGTAGGCCAGAAACCTTTTTTAAATAAGGAGAGTTATATTGATTCATGTTCATTCATTAATTTTAATGTCTGTATTAAAAAAAAGAAATAAATATTTAAACTAATTTAAACTGAAATGCCATGGGTCAAAACGCTAATTTACTTCTAATGTGTTGCTGATTAGCTGTAGTTATGTATAGTGCACAATATTCAGTATGTGTTATTTTGTTATACTTTTGTTCATGTGAGTTGTGTTAGATAATATGCACTGCCTTATGTCTTAGTGGTCTTCAACCTTTCTGACTCCATCACCCAAGGCCCCCCATTGTCAACGACGATATTTGAAGACCCACCAAGGTATTTCCGGTGTATCAGTACTGACAAAGCTGTTTCTTTTTTTATTATTATTATTTTCATACATTTTTTTTTAATAATTAAAATAATTATTTAAATAAATACAGTCCATAATTGAATGTTGTTCATGGTTTCCACTTTAACCTTTTCAGATCTAGAAATCACAAATGTAAAATTCCTTCATACAGTATATTTGGGTTGTCCAATATCATGAGAACCCTGGTTCTTAAAAATTGTTAAGGGAACTAATTAAAATAAGACATATGATTTCAGCTTATAGAGATATGCTTTCAGCTTATTTTAAACCTTGTTTTGTCTTATTTTACACCATCTTGCTGCCCCATTGGTAGTGTGATAAGGCCCCCAGCCCCTGGATGACTAGGGGAGATTGTTTGTGCCCTTTTTGTAGAATAGACTTAAGTAAGTAGTATTATAGTATCTATAAGTAAGTATTATAGTAAGTAAGTACTCAAGAATGTGACTATGATATTTGCAAAAAACATTCTGTATGGGGTGTGATGGTTACCCAGCTGTAGTTTGTGCTGTGTGAGCAAGCGTTGTCTTTCCGACTGAAGTTCTTCATTGGCTTGTGCTTCCAGGGCCTGAAGAGCACGCTGGTGATTTAACCTTTCCACACGCAACAACTCCTCCTCTCGCTCACGCCACCCCCGCTTTTCCCTCTCCTCTTCCCTCTCTCCCGTAGCCTTTCCATCCTCCTCGTCCTCATCTTCCTCTTTTACCACCTACAGGACAACATAAAATAACTAACATTAAGAGTTCTTTCCACAGTTGTGTGTGTGTGTGTGTGTGTGTGCGCTGTCATCATTTCAGTGGTTTCTGTCCACACAGTCATTGGGATCCAAAACATCACTGGACCCCAATTTCTTGAATTATATGGATGAAGCATTTTTCAAAATATCTTCTTTTTTGTTCCAAATGAATGAAGAAATACTCAGAGGTTTGGAATAACATGAGAGTATATGATGACAGAATGGTTTTTGTGTTTTTTTTTTTAAATATCCCTTTAGCAGCTCTCTCGGTTTAATTGTTATTTATTATTAATGATTATTCATTAGTAATGATAAATATATGAATCATAAGAAATCTTTTGATCTCCCGACAGCCCTAGTGTATACGCACTTGTAACTGCTGCCTCATCAGTCTCTCTTTCTCTTGAATGGTGGAATGAAGCTGAGATCTGAGCGTGCTGTTCATATCTCTTGTCTTTTGGATCTCCTGCTTCATTCGTTCCATCTCTCCATTACCGTAGCGTCTCTCTCTCTCTCCTTCCATCTTCTCTGAGAGTGCTCTCCTCTCCTCCAACTACACACAGAGACAGTAAAATAATGCTGATAGCGTGAACAGTGTGTATGATGGGTCTGAGGAAACTGTCAGTGTGTGTTACCTGTGTCTGCAGTTCTTCAACTCTGTGTTGCCACTGTTGGTTCATCTTTCTGATCTCTTCCTCTCTTTCTCTCTTCATTTCCACAATCTGATCAGAGAACTGCTTCTCAAACTGTAGCCTATACACATACATTTGCATTTAAATGAATAAAATTGCACTCTAAACCCATTTTACACATTGTTAGAAACTAGGGATGTCAAAGTTAACACATTATCGCATCTGACTAATACATATATACGGTACAATGGTTTAGTTCTGGTTCTCAATTTAATTGACCAATATGTGTTTGAAGACTTTGTAACATTATTATAATTGTATCCCTTTGTTTATATTGCCTTTAATTGCCATCATAATCATTATGGTTCATCATAAGGCATGACGCATTCAGAACAACAGCTCTGTTTGTTTTTGATTCTGCCAGAAAGTCTATAAAGGGTGTGAAATTATTTAATATTTGTATTAAATTACTGCAGATTAGAGGTAAGTGCATTGTGTGCTGTTGCAGAAAAATACAAAAACGAAATTCATCCATTTTGGGGCAGTAATACAAACTACGGTTCAAAAGTTTGTGGTCAGTAAGACTTTTTATTTAAAACATTTTTTTTTTGAAAGACAGGATGCATTAAACTGATGAAAAGTGGTGATAAAGTTTATTTATTTATTTATTTTTACAAAATTTATTTAATTTATTTTTACTCTGTTGTTTGAACTTTACATTCAATGAATCCTGAAAAAAAAAAGTTCCCTGCAGAACAAATGTTGTCAACATTTATAATAATAAAGAAATGTTTCTTGAGCACAAAATCAAAATCTTAGAATGACTTCTAAAGGATCATGTGACACTGAGGACTGAAGTAATGGCTGCTACCAGCACAAGAATAAATTTGTTTAAAATTATGCTACAATAGAAAAGAGTTATAATATTGCCAAATATTATTGCAATTTAAAATAACTTTTCATCTTTATTTTTGATCAAATAAATGCAGCCTTGGTGAGCGTAAGAAACATTGAGAAATCTTACTGACCCAAAAATTAATTAATAACATGATTAAAATAAATCGCAATTAAATATTTTAATTGACAGACAGCTCTATTAGAAACACACATGTAATGTGAGCGAATTTCTCTTTCTGTCCCTTCATGTCTCACTTTCATTCTGACACACCTGATTCTCTCCTCTATACCATGATTGGACTGTTGTAGAATGTCTCTTTCTTGCTGTAGAGCAGAAATCTCTGCCTGTAACACTTCCTTCTGTGCAGCAAACTCCTCCTGTGGGAGACATAAAAAGAAAGGAGAACAAGGATGGATAGACTCATGATTGGAAGGAAAGATCCATGGATTAAGGAAGAAAAAGAAGTAGATCGGTTGCTAGGTGAATATTAACGTCTTTCTTTCCTCTGGGCGGCACAGATCTGCTGAGATCAGCAGAACCTTGTGCTGCCATAAGGGAATTGCCGATCTGTGTGTGCTTGTGAGTATGTGTGATAGAGCTGCACAGTAATGGAAAGGGACATCACTGACACTTTGTCCACATGTCAAACGGAAGAGTGTGTTGAGCAAAAAGGAGTGAGAACCTGTATTTGCTGCATACTGCTGTGTGTGTTTTCCAGTTCTTCTTTCACTCGTACACACTCCGGGCCACATGCTGACTGCCGCTCCACCTTTGCATACTCCTGCTCTCTCTCTTTTGCCCTTTCCTTCTCCTCTTCTCTTTCTCTCTCCAGCGTCTGAATCACTCCCTCCAATTTCGCCATCTGCAAGCCAATAAAACTTAGATCAGCAAAGACCTTAACAGCAGGTGGAATCCATTCAAGTTTGATATAATTTATGTGGGCCATACAAAGAAAGTGATCTTCTGTTTTTAGAATAGAGTCTTTATTTAAAGCAACCTGAGGTTAAGGTTCTTTCTCAAAGGGATACAATGGGGATTGTTATAGGGTGTGTCTGAATCCATTCTCTAGATCAGTAGTAAGAGTAAATTGTTTTCTTACTACACTCAGTTACCTGTAATATTGTCAAAAGTAATGTTATTTAACCGGCAATGTTGTCACCATTTATGAAAACATTTTTTTTTTCTTTTCTGTTATTCACTGAGGTGTAATTTGTAATCATCTTTACTATCATTCAAAAGTTTTTCAGTTCTGGTTTTTTAAAGAAATGAATACTTTTATTTCATTGATCAATGTTACAAAATATTTCTATTTCAAATAAATGCTATCGCTTTGAATGTTCTATTCATCAATACATTTGCCCCAAAATATTAAGCAGCCTAATCATTTTTAACACTGAGAATAAAAGGAAATGTATTAAAACAGTTCATTCAAATAAAGTTATTTCAAATTCATAATATTATTGTCTTTAATGCATTTGCGATCTAATAAATGCATATTGGTGACCATAAAAGACTTCTTTCAAAAACATAAAAAAATCTTACCAAACCCAAACTTTTGAATCATTATTGTGTATTACAAACTTCTATATTATACAGGAATTGAAGTTGTTGTTGAAGACTAAAAAGACCCATTTTCCCTTTTCATTAATGTTCTGCAATTTTATTTTTATTATATTTGTGTATAATGTCTGAATGCCATTATGTTTAAAGCGGGACAAGCACATAATTCATAATGGCACTGTTTTTTTGTAACAGCTACAATGAAGAAGCCTGATGGCATGTTCAATGATCCTGTTGATAAATAGCAAAAACATCTTAATGAGTTTATAAGGTGTCACAGGAAATTGAGTCCCAATTCACGAACAAGCATTTTTGTCCCCGTATGGTTGTGGACAGCAGGTCCTACGAAAGAGAGCTGCCAGTTAGACAGCAATGATGAAGTGATTGAAATAGGAAATAGTCCTTTTTTAAGACATAAGCTATGATAGTTCTGTTTGAATATCTCGGCAATGTGAAGTGTAAGTTAATTTATTATTTCTATTCTAAATATAGTTTTGAACAAAACAATCACTCATGAGGATATTTTATTATCACATATATGTCAGCAATTCAGCAGTACTGTCACACTCTGTGTTCTTCATTCTCAAAGTTCTGCTAAAGTGACAGCATGGTGCGCAGCGTGAATTAGATTACCTGCCTTTCAGTCCCGTTAATTTGCTCACACAGTTACCATTTCTGAAACGGCTTTCAGGATTCATAAATCATTTTGCAGGTTCTATTTAATACACCTGCACTGATACCGCCCATTATTTTGCAGTTTTTTGGAAGCACACATCAAATGGCATATTTATTAAGTTAAATCGGAAAAATGCATGACATCCTGTAAACATGTTAGCAGATGAGCTTTAGTAGATCATTTTAGTACTTTTTGGGTGTAGCTGCACGCAAACCTAAGGGCAGTGTTTGAAACACTTGGAAACAAATGAGCCAGACAACCTAGCATTAGATTTTTCAAGAAATGTCCCTAGTGGGATTTTAACCTACAACCTTTTGTGCACCAACCTAGATCATTAAACACTAGGATACCACCACAATCCATATATTTAACTTGACTTAGAACAAATGGGTTTCTGATAAATAGCACAAACTGATGCTTGCTTCATTGCAACACAGCACTAAAACAACAATCCTCTTCCTAGCTATCACTTATTAAGCACTATTTCGTTATCATAACCCAGTTCCAAGCCTGCTAGCATATTAGATGAAGCATTAGACGAAGCCCTGTGCCTTGGGCACTACAAATGCTCTTTGTGTTTTCTCATTTATCATGGTCATGTGGAGAGCTCTGGGCTTCTCAGTCTGCGTATTTAAGCAGAAGGACTGAGCATGCTCCCTTTGCCTAAGCTTCAAACCAATTTGAAAAAGCTTGATATTTACATACAGTGGGTACGGAAAGTATTCAGACCCTTTTTTAATAAATCTGCAAAAAATGTCAACAATTCTGTGTTTTTCTGTCAATATGGGGTGCTGTGTGTACATTAATGAGGAAAAAAAATTTACTTAAATGATTTTAGCAAATGGCTGCAATATAACAAAGAGTGAAAAATTTAAGGGGGTCTGAATACTTTCCGTATCCACTGTAGTTCAAGTTATTTGTGGTGACCTGATTCATTAGTAGGTCAACAATGTTATGCAAAGATTGTGTTGGCTTTTAAGAGGAAAAGCAAAGGACAAATGTAGTGGTATTCTTTGCAGTAACTTACCTCTCTGTTGGACAGCTGTAGTTGGTTGTGTAGCTCTTCCCTCTCTGTCTCTAAAGCCTTTCTCTCTTCTTCTCCGGTTTTCATCTGCTCCTCAATCTGTAGTCAAACCAACATTATAATACTAGTATCTCTTAATTTCAATAATATTTCAACAGATATTTTTAATAGTGCTTTGCTGGTTACTTTTTTAATTGTTTTAAAGAAGGCATATAGTCTACATCTTTGCAGCTGTTTTTTCCCTTGCCTTATATTGCATTTAAGGTATATTCTTTTCTCAGTTCATACATTCCATGGAAACTAATATCATGAAATCGGTGTCACAACATTCAGGCACTACTGTTTGAGCTACAGGAACACTTTCTTGTAGCAAAATATTAATTAAATATTACATAAACATTTTCCACCCTTTCTAACTTTTAGAATTAGCTCTACAAAAAAATAAAATGTATTTCATTTAATTCTAAACCGTCTTTTTTCCTTTTGTGGAACACAAGCCAAGATTCTGAGCAGAATGTTGCTCAATTCCATTCAACAAAATCAAGTTTTTCAGCAAAAAAATTATCTACTTGTATTTCAGTCTTTTACATTAGAAGCACATGAGTTGTATTTACCACTTTTATAATGTGTTTATGCTATTTTGTTCTTTTTGGAGTTTGAAAGCCCCTGGTTCATTACATGAAAGAGGGTGAACATTTTCCTTTTGTGTTACATGGAAGAAAGAAAGTCATGTAGGAATGAAACAAAGGGTGAATAAATTATGTTTTATTTTTTGGTCAACTAAACATTTAAATAGGTCGTTTTTAGCTTCTGTACCTTTAAGACTTTTTATGCGACTGACTTGTTATGATACGATGGCTAATCTCTGCATGTTCATAAGGGTGGGCCAAGTTTCTGAATGCCGAATATGCGTCATATGTTAATGTGATTCTGATTTCAGAATGACCCATTTTTGCAGCTTAGTTTCCATAATTGGTCTGAATGGACTTGGGCTTGGAGATTTGCATTGTGAATAATAATGTGTGTCTATAAACACAGCACAAAGAAAATTATTTTTATTTCCCCCGTAACAATAAAGCCACACTAATATAGATGGGTAAACGTACAGATTATACTCATTATATATCCTCTTAAGATATTCTTAAAATCCCATGCTCAGTCTCTGCCTTTTGTTATTGGAAAAAAGAACATAAAAACTTTCGACATTTAAATATTTCCAAATGAAATAAAATCAGAAAGTCAGTGCCGATTGCCCACCTTTCACACCAGTAGTAACAGGCGCAAATGAGAAGGTATGAAGTTATTAGCAAAGCTAGTGTGTCTGTAAGTTCACATTAAAACCGCAGTTGAAATCTGTCGTACCTGCTGCGTCTTCTTTTTCTCTGCATCCAGCATTGCATGCGCTTGCCGCAGCTCACTGGCATGTTTGCGTATCACTTCTTCAAGTGCTTTCCGAAGCTGCTCTTTCAGCCTTACTTTCTCTTCT